TATGTGTGTGTGTGGTACGTGTGTGTGTGTGAGTGGTACGTGTGAGTGGTATGTGTGAGTGGTACGTGTGTGAGTGGTACGTGTGTGTGTGGTACGTGTGTGTGTGGTACGTGTGTGGTACGTGTGTGAGTGGTACGTGTGTGTGTGTGTGTGTGAGTGGTACGTGTGTGTGTGTGTGTGAGTGGTACGTGTGTGTGTGTGAGTGGTACGTGTGAGTGTGTGTGTGGTACGTGTGCGAGTGGTACGTGTGTGAGTGGTACGCGTGTGAGTGGTACGTGTGTGAGTGGTACGTGTGTGTGTGTGTGTGTGAGTGGTACGTGTGAGTGGTGCGTGTGTGTGTGTGTGAGTGGTACGTGTGTGTGTGGTATGTGTGTGTGTGTGGTACGTGTGTGTGGTACGTGTGTGTGAGTGGTACGTGTGTGAGTGGTACGTGTGTGAGTGGTACGTGTGTGTGTGTGAGTGGTACGTGTGTGAGTGGTACGTGTGTGTGTGTGTGTGGTACGTGTGTGAGTGGTACGTGTGTGTGTGTGTGAGTGGTACGTGTGTGTGTGGTACGTGTGAGTGGTACGTGTGTGTGTGGTACATGTGAGTGGTACGTGTGTGTGTAGTACGTGTGAGTGGTACGTGTGTGAGTGGTATGTGTGAGTGGTACGTGTGTGTGTGGTACGTGTGAGTGGTACGTGTGTGAGTGGTACGTGTGTGTGAGTGGTACGTGTGTGAGTGGTACGTGTATGTGAGTGGTACGTGTGAGTGGTACGTGTGTGTGAGTGGTACGTGTGTGAGTGGTACGTGTGTGTGTGGTACGTGTATGAGTGGTACGTGTGTGAGTGGTACGTGTGTGAGTGGTACGTGTGTGAGTGGTACGTGTGTGTGTGGTACGTGTGTGAATGGTACGTGTGTGTGTGAGTGGTACGTGTGTGTGTGTGTGAGTGGTACGTGTGTGTGTGTGTGAGTGGTACGTGTGTGTGTGTGTGTGCGAGTGGTACGTGTGAGTGGTACGTGTGAGTGGTACATGTGTGTGTGTGTGTGAGTGGTACGTGTGAGTGGTACGTGTGAGTGGTACGTGTGTGTGTGTGTGGTACGTGTGTGTGTGTGTGTGTGGTACGTGTGTGTGTGTGTGGTAAGTGTGTGAGTGGTACGTGTGTGAGTGGTGCGTGTGTGTGTGGTGCGTGTGTGTGTGTGGTGCGTGTGTGAGTGGTACGTGTGTGTGTGTGTGAGTGGTACTTGTGTGAGTGGTACGTGTGAGTGGTACGTGTGTGTGAGTGGTACGTGTGTGTGTGTGGTACGTGTGTGAGTGGTGCGTGTGTGTGCGAGTGGTACGTGTGTGTGTGTGTGTGAGTGGTACGTGTGAGTGGTGCGTGTGTGTGTGTGTGAGTGGTACGTGTGTGTGTGGTATGTGTGAGTGGTACGTGTGTGTGTGGTACGTGTGAGTGGTACGTGTGTGTGTGGTACGTGTGAGTGGTACGTGTGTGAGTGTGCGAGTGGTACGTGTGTTTGTGTGGTACGTGTGGTGTGTGTGTGTGTGGTATGTGTGTGTGTGGTATGTGTGTGTGTGTGGTGTGTGTGTGAGTGGTACATGTGTGTGGTGTGTGTGGTACGTGTGTGTGAGTGGTACGTGTGTGTGTGGTACGTGTGTGAGTGGTACGTGTGTGTGTGTGTGGTACGTGTGTGGTACATGTGTGTGTGTGTGTGAGTTGTACGTGTGAGTGGTACGTGTGTGAGTGGTACGTGTGAGTGGTACGTGTATGAGTGGTACGTGTGTGTGTGTGTGAGTGGTACGTGTGTGAGTGGTACGTGTGTGAGTGGTACGTGTGTGAGTGGTACGTGTGTGTGTGGTACCTGTGTGTGTGTAAGTGGTACGTGTGTGTGGTACGTGTGTGAGTGGTACGTGTGTGAGTGGTACGTGTGTGTGTGTGAGTGGTACGTGTGAGTGGTACGTGTGTGTGTGTGAGTGGTACGTGTGTGTGTGTGAGTGGTACGTGTGTGTGTGTGGTATGTGTGAGTGGTACATGTGTGTGGTACGTGTGTGTGAGTGGTGCGTGTGTGAGTGGTACGTGTGAGTGGTACGTGTATGAGTGGTACGTGTGTGTGTGTGTGAGTGGTACGTGTGTGAGTGGTACGTGTGCGAGTGGTACGTGTGCGTGTGCGAGTGGTACGTGTGTGTGTGGTACGTGTGTGAGTGGTACGTGTGTGTGTGTGTGAGTGGTACGTGTGTGTGTGTGGTACGTGTGCGAGTGGTACGTGTGTGTGAGTGGTACGTGTGTGAGTGGTACGTGTGTGTGTGTGTGAGTGGTACGTGTGTGAGTGGTACGTGTGTGTGTGGTACGTGTGTGTGAGTGGTACGTGTGTGAGTGGTACGTGTGTGTGTGTGGTACGTGTGAGTGGTACATGTGTGAGTGTGTGAGTGGTACGTGTGTGAGTGGTACGTGTGTGTGTGCGAGTGGTACGTGTGTGTGTGCGAGTGGTATGTGTGTGTGTGGTACGTGTGTGTGTGTGAGTGGTACGTGTGAGTGGTATGTGTGAGTGGTACGTGTGTGAGTGGTACGTGTGTGTGTGGTACGTGTGTGTGTGGTACGTGTGTGAGTGGTACGTGTGTGGTACGTGTGTGAGTGGTACGTGTGTGTGTGTGTGTGTGAGTGGTACGTGTGTGTGTGTGTGTGAGTGGTACGTGTGTGTGTGTGAGTGGTACGTGTGAGTGTGTGTGTGGTACGTGTGCGAGTGGTACGTGTGTGAGTGGTACGCGTGTGAGTGGTACGTGTGTGAGTGGTACGTGTGTGTGTGTGTGTGTGTGTGAGTGGTACGTGTGAGTGGTGCGTGTGTGTGTGTGTGAGTGGTACGTGTGTGTGTGGTATGTGTGTGTGTGTGGTACGTGTGTGTGGTACGTGTGTGTGAGTGGTACGTGTGTGAGTGGTACGTGTGTGAGTGGTACGTGTGTGAGTGGTACGTGTGTGTGTGTGAGTGGTACGTGTGTGAGTGGTACGTGTGTGTGTGTGTGTGGTACGTGTGTGAGTGGTACGTGTGTGTGTGTGTGTGTGAGTGGTACGTGTGTGTGTGGTACGTGTGAGTGGTACGTGTGTGTGTGGTACATGTGAGTGGTACGTGTGTGTGTGGTACGTGTGAGTGGTACGTGTGTGAGTGGTATGTGTGAGTGGTACGTGTGTGTGTGGTACGTGTGAGTGGTACGTGTGTGAGTGGTACGTGTGTGTGAGTGGTACGTGAGTGGTACGTGTGTGAGTGGTACGTGTATGTGAGTGGTACGTGTGAGTGGTACGTGTGTGTGAGTGGTACGTGTGTGAGTGGTACGTGTGTGTGTGGTACGTGTATGAGTGGTACGTGTGTGAGTGGTACGTGTGTGAGTGGTACGTGTGTGAGTGGTACGTGTGTGAGTGGTACGTGTGTGTGTGGTACGTGTGTGAATGGTACGTGTGTGTGTGAGTGGTACGTGTGTGTGTGTGAGTGGTACGTGTGTGTGTGTGTGAGTGGTACGTGTGTGTGTGTGTGTGCGAGTGGTACGTGTGAGTGGTACGTGTGAGTGGTACATGTGTGTGTGTGTGTGGTACGTGTGAGTGGTACGTGTGAGTGGTACGTGTGTGTGTGTGTGGTACCTGTGTGTGTGTGTGTGTGGTACGTGTGTGTGTGTGAGTGGTACGTGTGTGTGTGTGAGTGGTACGTGTGAGTGTGTGTGTGGTACGTGTGCGAGTGGTACGTGTGTGAGTGGTACGCGTGTGAGTGGTACGTGTGTGAGTGGTACGTGTGTGTGTGTGTGTGAGTGGTACGTGTGAGTGGTGCGTGTGTGTGTGTGTGTGTGTGAGTGGTACGTGTGAGTGGTGCGTGTGTGTGTGGTGCGTGTGTGTGTGTGGTGCGTGTGTGAGTGGTACGTGTGTGAGTGGTACGTGTGTGTGTGTGTGAGTGGTACTTGTGTGAGTGGTACGTGTGAGTGGTACGTGTGTGTGAGTGGTACGTGTGTGTGTGTGGTACGTGTGTGAGTGGTGCGTGTGTGTGCGAGTGGTACGTGTGTGTGTGTGGTACGTGTGTGTGAGTGGTACGTGTGTGAGTGGTACGTGTGTGAGTGGTACGTGTGTGTGTGTGGTACGTGTGTGTGAGTGGTACGTGTGTGAGTGGTACGTGTGTGTGTGTGTGAGTGGTACGTGTGTGTGAGTGGTATGTGTGTGTGTGAGTGGTACGTGTGAGTGTGTGTGTGGTACGTGTGTGTGTGAGTGGTATGTGTGTGAGTGGTACGTGTGTGTGTGTGTGTGGTACGTGTGTGTGTGTGGTACGTGTATGAGTGGTACGTGTGTGTGTGTGTCTGTGTGTGTGTCTGTGTGTGTGTTTGTGAGTGGTACGTGTGTGTGTGAGTCTGTGTGTGTGTGTGGTACGTGTATGAGTGGTACGTGTGTGAGTGGTACGTGTGTGTGTGTGTGTGGTACGTGTATGAGTGGTACGTGTGTGAGTGGTACGTGTGTGTGTGTGTGGTACGTGTGTGAGTGGTATGTGTGTGAGTGGTACGTGTGTGAGTGGTACGTGTATGAGTGGTACGTGTGTGAGTGGTACGTGTGTGGTACGTGTGTGTGTGTGTGTGAGTGGTACGTGTGTGAGTGGTACGTGTGTGTGTGTGTGTGTGGTACGTGTGTGTGTGTGTGAGTGGTATGTGTGTGAGTGGTACGTGTGTGTGTGTGAGTGGTACGTGTGTGTGTGTGTGAGTGGTACGTGTGTGGTACGTGTGTGAGTGGTACGTGTGTGGTACGTGTGTGTGTGTGTGTGGTACGTGTATGAGTGGTACGTGTGTGAGTGGTACGTGTGTGTGTGTGAGTGGTACGTGTGTGTGTGTGTGTGAGTGGTACGTGTGTGTGTGTGAGTCTGTGTGTGTGTGTGTGTGGTACGTGTGTGAGTGGTACGTGTGTGAGTGGTACGTGTGTGAGTGGTACGTGTGTGAGTGGTACGTGTGTGTGTGTGTGTGAGTGGTATGTGTGTGAGTGTATGAGTGGTACGTGTGTGAGTACCTGCGAAGATACACCCAGCTGACCACATGTCGATGGAGGTGGAGTAGAGCTTAGCCCCAAACAGCACATCGGGCGGTCGGTACCACAGTGTCACCACCTACACACAGAGACACAGTCACACACAGACACACACACACAGTGTCATCACCTACACAGTCACACAGTGTCACACACACACAGTGTCACACACACAGTGTCACACACACAGTGTCACACACACAGTGTCATCACCTACACAGTCACACAGTGTCACACACACACAGTGTCACACACACAGTGTCACACACACAGTGTCACACACACAGTGTCACCACCTACACACAGACACACACACACACAGACACACACACACAGTGTCATCACCTACACAGTCACACAGTGTCACACACACACAGTGTCACACACACAGTGTCACACACACAGTGTCACACACACAGTGTCACCACCTACACACAGACACACACAGTCACAGTGTCACACACACACACACAGACACACACAGTGTCACACACACAGTGTCACACACAGTGTCACACACACAGTGTCACACACACAGTGTCACCACCTACACAGTGTCACCACCTACACAGTCACACAGTGTCACACACACACACAGTGTCACCACCTACACACACACACACAGTGTCACCACCTACACACACACACACAGTGTCACCACCTACACAGTCACACAGTGTCACACACACACAGTGTCACACACACAGTGTCACCACCTACACAGTCACACAGTGTCACACACAGACACACACACACACAGTGTCACCACCTACACAGTCACACACACACACAGACACACACACACAGTGTCACCACCTACACAGTCACACACACACACAGACACACACACACAGTGTCACCACCTACACACAGACAGTGTCACACACAGTGTCACACACAGTGTCACACACAGTGTCACACACACACAGACACACAGTGTCACCACCTACACAGTCACACAGTGTCACACACAGACACACACACACACAGTGTCACCACCTACACAGTCACACACACACACAGACACACACACACAGTGTCACCACCTACACAGTCACACACACACACAGACACACACACACAGTGTCACCACCTACACACAGACAGTGTCACACACAGTGTCACACACAGTGTCACACACACACATTGTCACCACCTACACACAGACACACACAGTGTCACACAGACACACAGACACACAGTGTCACACACAGTGTCACACACACACACAGTGTCACCACCTACACACAGACACACACACTGTCACGCACACAGTTTCACACACACAGTGACACACACACAGTGTCACACACACACACAGTGACACACACACACAGTGTCACACACAGTGTCACCACCTACACAGTCACACACAGACAGACACACAGACACACACACACACAGTGTCACACAGACACAGTGTCACACACACACAGTGTCACCACCTACACACAGACACACACACAGACACACACACAGACACACAGTGTCACCACCTACACACACACACACAGTGTCACACACACAGTGTCACCACCTACACACAGACACACACAGACACAGACACAACAACAACAACAACCGCCATTCGCCACTAAGTGGCGGTGACGTCACCACGACGCTTGTGCCAGGCTATGTGCACCCTGAGGCCACGTGAAGTGTCGAACGCCCGCTGGCAGGAGGTCACGGGGCAGACCCAGGTGCCACGGGTCGACTGACTGAGATGACGGGCTGATGCACCACCTGTGCCCCCTACTGTGCCAACCTGCTGTGCTTTAGCCACCCGGCGCTCCGCTCGCTGTTGTGAGCGTCGCTCCTCCGCCCTCCGTTGTTGTTGGAGGGCGACTGCCTCCAACTGCCCAGTAGCATCCTTCACGAGCCTCCTCCACAGAGGCCGATCTTGACACCGCTGGTACCAGTCATCGGCAAGTCCACTCAGCTCCACGTCCTCCTGTACCACATCACTCCATCTCTTCTCTAGCCCGTGCCGCGCCCGCTTAGCCCCCTCAATCCGGCCAAACAAAAGCTGTTTCGGCATGCGGTGGCTGGGCATGCGGGCTACATGACCCAGCCATCGCAGCCTTGCCTGCCGGAGGAGCTCACCGATGGGACCCTGCCCAGATCTTTCAAGGATTTGTGAGCTCCTCACACAATCCAGTCTGGTTAAACCCAGGATGGATCGTAGGCAGGTCAGCCTAAATGTTTCTAACCGGCGAAGATGTTCCATTAGGGGGGTCCACGTTTCGCAAGCGTAGAGAAGGAGGGAATGACCGTGGCCGAGAAGACCTGAAGCTTAGTGCGGAGCGACAGACCAGGTAGCTTCCACACAGCGTTACGCAACCGATGAAAAGATATTGCCGCTCGACTGATTCGGAGTGAGACCTCTGCTGTTAAACTGGAGCCAGTCATAAGCACACTGCCCAGGTACGGGAAACTCTCCACTCTCTCCACAACTGCCCCATCACCGATTGGGAGTTGTGGGGGTGGAGTGTCCGATGGTACAAAATACCCAGGCAGGTGCTTAGTTTTGGTGGGGCTGATGGTAAGGCCCCACCTCTTAGTGGCACGCTCCAGTCTCAGCAGCAGCGTCTCCAACTCCTCCTCTGACTGAGCAGCTATTACCAAGTCATCAGCATACATAACGTGGTTGAGCAATAGGGAGCCATCCCTTGACCGCACCCGGGCATCGATTAGCCTCCCATTATATCTGTACCATATGGAGATTCCCCCGGTACAGCTATTGAAGGCTTCACGAACTACGTGGTCAAAATAGATGTTAAATAATGTGGGAGCCAGAGGACATCCCTGTCGCACCCCAAGGTGTACAGGGAATGGCTCTGACTCCCGGCCACGTAGTTTTACCCGGGCCCGCTCACCATCATGAAGGTCCTTAATGATCGTGAGCAGAGGGTCAGGTACTCCAAAAGCACGAAGAACGACCCAGAGCCCAGGCCTACTGATTGTATCATAGGCCTTGACCAGGTCAATAAAGCACAGACACACACACAGTGTCACACACACAGTGTCACCACCTACACACACACAGTCACACACACACACAGTGTCACACACACACACACAGTTTCACACACACACACAGTGTCACACACACACAGTGTCACCACCTACACACACACAGTCACACACACACACAGTGTCACCACCTACACACACACAGTCACACACACAGTGTCACACACACAGTGTCACCACCTACACACACACAGTCACACACACACACACACAGTGTCACACACACACAGTGTCACACACACACAGTGTCACCACCTACACACAGACACACACAGACACACAGACACACAGTGTCACCGTGAGAGATTCGCTCACGAGGCTATCCACCATATACAAACACGGAGACAATTTCAACCGAGAAGATGGATTCTGGCTTAGCAATCATTGGAAAGATTTGATCAACCATTCCGGGTCTTCATTGATTGTCCACGCTTACGGTGGCTTTCAGACAGCATGCATTAATTTTTTGTCTCCCCCCTCCTCTGTTTCAGAACATAGATGGACTAGTCCTTCTGAATAAACTGACAAATCGCTGCACGTGGCGCTGACGTTTTATTATAAATAAATAAACAGTTTAAAAATAAATTTATGCAGACCGACACACCTGATGAGGACCGTTTGTGTTATGGTCGAAACGTCGTGAGAATTTTTATTGTTTTATATATATTTTATTATTTTATTGTTTCCCTTCAACGTGGTGACTTTACCGAAAGAGCTAAGAATATAAACGAATTTAGTCTCCAGCCAATCCACGAAAAGTAATGTTCTGAAACAGCTGTCCTACCTCAAAGTGTCCTCCCTCTACCGGAGCAGACAGTTTTCCCGTCTTTGCTCTACTAACTGTTGGTCACCTAATATACAAACCTATAGCCCATATTTTCAACGTGTCCATCAAAGAAGCATCACTTCCTCTAGAACGGAAACATTCCTGTGTCCGTCCACTTCACAAAGGGGGCTCCTAAAGATGATCCAGATAGCTACCGACCTATCTCAATTTTTTCCTGTCCACCAACAATCTACCGCATCTAAAACAATCTGGGTTCCGGAAAAAAAATACAGCACCACATCTGCTGCATTGGACTCTCTGAATCACATTTACAGTAGCCTTGATAATAAGCAGTACTGTGCCTGTCTTTATCTTGACCTGTCCAAAGCTTTTGATACAGTAGGCCACAACACCCTGCTTAGTAAACTAAGTTGCCTAGGTTTTTACGAAAACACAGTACAATGGTTAAAAAAACTACCTCTTTTCTCGCACCCAAACTATATTCACAGATGGTTGGAGGTCAAACAGGGGTTCCACAGGGTTCCATCCTCGGCCCCCTCTTGTTCTCTCTTTACGTCAATGACTTGGGCACTGGCCTGGATCGTTCCAGGGTAAATCTTTTTCGCAGATGACACGATACTGATTACTGCTGGCCGCTCTCCGGATGACGTGATTGCTAAGCTCCAGGGTGATTTCAACAAACTACAACATCAGCTAGTTGCTCTTAAACTCGTCCTGAATACCTCCAAAACCAAGGTGCTATGCTTCTCACCGGGACTAATTAAATAAACTGAAACACTGACGCACACAACCACACACGCACGCACACAACCACACTCACGCACACACACCCACCCACACCCACAACCACACACCCCCACACACACAACCCCACACACACACCCCCACAGACACACACTCACGCACACACACCCCCACACACACACCCCACACACACACCCCCACACACACACACTCACCCACCCACACACGCACACACACCCCCACACACACCCCCACACACACACCCACACACACATACACACTCACGTACACCCACCACCCACAACCACACACCCACGCACACACACACACCCCCACACACACACACACAGACACACACACCCCACACACACACCCACACACACACACACCCCACTCACCCCCACACACACACACACACACCCACGCACCCACGCACCTCTGCTGAGTAGCACCTCACTGGGATCCCGAATGCCCTCGCCAGCCCAAAGTCGGCCAACTTGAGCTCTCCATTCTGTGGTGGGGCACACACAGACACACACACAGACACACACACAGACACACACACACACAGACACACACACAGACACACACACACACACACAGACACACACACACACAGACACACACACACAGAGACACACACACAGACACACACACACACACAGACACACACAGACACACACAGACACACACACAGACACACACAGTCACACACACAGACACACACACAGACACACACACAGACACACACAGACACACACACACAGACACACACAGACACACACAGACACCCACACACAGACACCCACACACAGACACACACACACAGACACACACACACAGACACACACAGACACACACAGTCAGACAGACACACACAGTCACACACACAGACACACACACACAGCCACACAAACACATACAGACACTCACACAGACACACACACACAGACACACACACACAGACACACACACACACACAGACACACACAGTCACACACACAGACACACACACAGACACACAAACACATACAGACACTCACACACACAGACACACACACAGACACACACACACACACAGACACACACAGGCACACACACACACAGACACACAGACACACACAGACACCCACACAGAGACACACACAGACACACACACACAGACACACGCACACAGACACACACACACACAGACACACAGACACACACACAGACACACACACACAGACACACACACACACACAGACAGACACACACAGACAAAGGTCCCCTGTGTAGCTTGCCTGGCCAGGTGGGGCAAGTGCCGTGAGTAGCACCTCTAACACATGACACGTGGTGGTGGTGGTAGTGGTGGTTGTTGTGGTGGTAGTGGTTGTTGTGGTGGTGGTGGTAGTGGTAGCAGTGGTGGTTGTGGTGGTAGTGGTAGCAGTGGTGGTTGTGGTAGTGGTGGTAGTGGTGGTGGTGGTTGTCGTGGTGGTGGTTGTCGTGGTGGTGGTAGTGGAAGTGGTGGTGGTGGTGGTGGTTGTTGTTGTTGTGGTGGTGGTGGTAGTGGTGGTGGTGGTAGTGGTGGTAGTGGTGGTGCTTGTTGTTGTTGTAGTGGTGGTGGTGGTAGTGGTGGTTGTGGTAGTGGTGGTAGTGGTGATGGTAGTGGTGGTAGTGGTTGTGGGGGTAGTGGTGGTGGTTGTGGTGGTAGTGGTGGTTGTGGTAGTGGTGGTGGTAGTAGTGGTGGTGGTAGTGGTGGTAGTGGTTGTTGTTGTTGTAGTGGTGATTGTGGTAGTGGTGGTAGTGGTGGTGGTGGTAGTGGTGGTGGTAATGGTTGTTGTTGTAGTGGTAGTTGTGGTGGTGGTGGTAGTGGTGGTAGAAGTGGTGGTGGTAGTGGTGGTAGTGGTGGTGGTTGTTGTTGTAGTAGTGGTGGTGGTGGTTGTGGTGGTAGTGGTGGTGGTGGTAGTGGTGGTAGTTGTGGTGGTGGTAGTGGTGGTTGTTGTTGTTTTTGTAGTGGTGGTGGTGGTTGTGGTGGTGGTGGTTGTGGTGGTTGTGGTGGTGGTGGTGATGGTAGTGGTGGTGGTAGTGGTGGTAGTGGTGGTTGTGGTGGTGGTAGTGGTGGTAGTGGTGGTGGTGATGGTGATGGTAGTGGTGGTAGTAGTGGTGGTGGTGGTAGTGGTGGTTGTGGTAGTGGTTGTTGTTGTAGTGGTGATTGTGGTAGTGGTGGTAGTTGTGGTGGTGGTAGTGGTGGTTGTTGTTGTTTTTGTAGTGGTGGTGGTGGTTGTGGTGGTAGTGGTGGTAGTGGTGGTGGTTGCTGTTGTTGTTGTAGTGGTGGTTGTGGTGGTGGTTGTGGTGGTTGTGGTGGTGGTGGTGGTGCCCACCCTGTTGATGAGGAGGTTTTGAGGCTTGAGATCTCTGTGCAGGACATTGCGACTGTGACAGAAGGCGAGGCCCTTGAGCAGCTGGTACATGAAGGACTGCACCACCACCACCACAATCACAATCATCAACATCACAATCATCAACATCACAATCACAATCATCAACATCATCACCATCAACACCATCAACATCAACACCATCAACATCACAATCATAAACATCACAATCACAATCATCAACATCATCATCACCACCACCACCACCACCATCAACACCATCAACACCACCATCAACAACACCATCACGCACCACCACCATCAACACCATCAACACCACCACCACCACCACCATCAACATCACAATCATCAACATCATCATCATCATTACTATCAACACCATCATCACCATCAACATCAACACCATCACCACCATCACCACCATCAACATCACAATCATCAACATCATCATCATCATCATTACCATCACCACCATCAACACCATCAACACCACCACCATCACCACCATCACCACCATCAACACCATCAACACCATCAACATCAACACCATCAACATCAACACCATCACCACCACCATCACCATCAACACCATCAACATCAACACCATCACCACCACCACCACCATCACCACCATCAACACCATCAACACCACCACCATCACCACCACCATCACCATCAACACCATCAACATCAACACCATCACCACCACCATCACCATCAACACCATCAACATCAACACCATCAACACCATCACCATCAACACCATCACCACCATCAACATCATCATCACCAATACCACCACCACCACCATCACCACCATCACCATCAACACCATCAACATCAACACCATCAACATCATCATCACCAATACCACCACCACCACCACCATCACCACCATCAACATCAACATCACCACCATCAACACCATCACCATCAACACCATCACCATCATCACCATCAACATCACCATCAACATCACCATCAACACCACCACCACCATCACCACCACCATCACCATCAACACCATCACCACCACCATCACCATCAACACCATCACCATCAACATCACCATCACCACCATCACCATCAACATCCCAATCATCAACATCACAATCACAATCATCAACATCATCATCACCACCACCATCAACACCATCAACATCACAATCACAATCATCAACATCAACATCACCACCATCACCACCATCACCACCATCACCACCATCAACATCATCAACATCACCATCAACACCATCAACATCACAATCACAATCATCAACATCAACATCACCACCATCACCACCACCACCATCGCCACCACCATCACCACCATCACCACCATCAACATCATCACCATCACCACCATCAACATCACAATCACAATCATCAACATCACCATCATCAACACCATCACCATCATCACCATCACCACCACCACCATCAACATCACAATCACAATCATCAACATCATCATCATCATCATTACCATCACCACCATCACCACCATCAACACCATCAACATCAACATCACAATAATCAACATCATCATCACCAATACCATCACCACCATCACCACCATCAACATCACCATCATCAACACCATCATCATCAACACCATCACCATCATCAACATCATCATCATCACCAATACCATCACCACCATCACCATCACCACCATCAACATCAACATCACAATAATCAACATCATCATCACCAATACCATCACCACCATCACCACCATCAACATCACCATCATCAACACCATCATCATCAACACCATCACCATCATCACCATCACCACCATCAACATCAACATCACCATCATCAACACCATCATCATCAACACCATCATCATCAACACCATCACCATCATCACCATCATCACCATCATCACCATCAACACCATCATCACCATCAACACCATCATCACTATCATCACCATCATCACCACCATCAACATCAACATCACCATCATCAACACCATCATCACCATCAACACCATCATCACCATCATCACCATCAACATCAACACCATCATCATCACCATCATCACCATCAACATCATCACCATCACCACCATCAACATCATCACCACCATCAATATCATTCACCATCACCACCATCAACATCATCATCAATATCATTCACCATCACCACAATCATCATCACCATCCATAACGGAGGTTTCATTGGGGGGCTGCGAGCTTAACGACACAATTATTTTTACGCGATTCTATCCCAAATAACACCTCGATTATGGACGATTCTTTGTCACGAAAGCGTCCTCTTCCGACTGCTACTGTGTGGTAAAACTCTAGGCCTGGAGTAGTTCCAGACTAGGCCGAGGACCAGGCCCGGGACTAGGCCTGGGAGTAGGCCTGGGCCTAAGCCTGGGGCAAGGCCGATGACTAGGCCCGGAGTAATCCCGGACTAGGCCTAGGAACCAGGCCAGAGACTAGGCCTGGGAGTAGGCCTGGGCCTAAGCTTGGGGCTAGGCCCATGATTAGGCCCGGAGTAGTCGCGGACAAGGCCTAGGACCAGGCCCGGGACTAGGCCTGGGCCTAAGCCTAAGTCTAGGCCCATAACGAGGCCCGAAGTAGTCCCAGACTAGGCCTGGGAGTAGGCCCGGGACTAGGCCTGGGAGTAGGCCCGGGCCTAAGCCTGGGGCTAAGCCCATGACTAGGCCCGGAGTAATCGCGGACTAGGCCTAGGACCAAGCCCGGGACTAGGCCTGGGAGTAGGCCTGGGCCTAAGCCTGGGGCTAGGCCAATGACTAGGCCCGGAGTCATCCCAGACTATGCCTAGGACCAGGCCCGGGACTAGGCCTGGGAGTAGGCCTGGGCCTAAGCCTGGGGCTAGGCCGATGACTAGGCCCGGAGTAATCCCGGACTATGCCTAGGACCAGGCTAAGACTAGGCCTGGGAGTAGGCCCGGGACTAGGCCTGGGAGTAGGCCCGGGCCTAAGCCTGGGGCTAAGCCCATGACTAGGCCCAGAGTAGTCCGGGACTAGGCCTAGGGCCAGGCCCGGGACTAGGCCTGGGCCTAAGCCTAGGTCTAGGCCCACAACGAGGCTAGTACCAGACTAGGCCTAGGACCAGGCCCCGGACTAGGCCCAGGAGTAGGCCTGGGCCTAAGCCTGGGTCTAGGCCCATGACTAGGCCCGGAGTAGTCCCAGAACAGGACTCTGACTAGGCCCGGTGCTAAGCCCGTAACTAGGCCTCAGTCCGGGACTAGGCCTGGGAGTGAGCCCGGACTATGCCTAGGCTCAGGCCCGGGACTAGGCCTGGGAGTAGGCCCGGGACTAGGCCTGGGAGTAGGCCCGGGCCTAAGCCTGGGGCTAAGCACATGACTAGGCCCGGAGTAATCCCGGACTATGCCTAGGACCAGGCCCGGGACTAGGCCTGGGAGTAGGCCTGGGCCTATGCCTGGGGCTAGGCCGATGACTAGGCCCGGAGTAGTCACGGACTAGGCCTAGGGCCAGGCTAAGACTAGGCCTGGGAGTAGGCCCGGGACTAGGCCTGGGAGTAGGCCCGGGCCTAAGCCTGGCGCTAGGCCCATGACTAGGCCCGGAGTAGTCGCGGACTAGACCTAGGGCCAGGCCCGGGACTAGGCCTGGGCCTAAGCCTAGGTCTAGGCCCACAACGAGGCTAGTCCCAAACTAGGCCTAGGACCAGGCCCCGGACTAGGCCCGGGAGTAGGCCTGGGCCTAAGCCTGGGTCTAGGCCCATGACTAGGCCTGGAGTAGTCCCAGACTAGGCCTAGGACCAGGCCCGGACTAGGCCCAGGAGTAGGCCTGGGCCTAAGCCTGGGTCTAGGCCCATGACTAGGCCCGGAGTAGTCCCAGACTAGGCCCGGGACTAGGCCAAAACTAGGCTAGGATCTAGGCCCTTGACTAGGCCCGGAGTAGTCCCAGACCAGGTCTCTGACTAGGCCCGGCGCTAAGCCCGTAACTAGGCCTCGGTCCGGGACTAGGCCTGGGAGTGATCCCGGGACTGGGGCTAAAACTAGGCTTAGGGTTTAGGCCTGGGACAGGGCCCGGGGCTAGGCCCAAAACGAGGCCCTAGCCCGGGCCTAGAACCAGGCCCGACTACTGGACATCTGTGGGCTTGACAGCTCATCAGATTCCTCCTGCAGCATGGACACGGGGACGCTGAGACTGGTCAGCGAGGGGGTCGGGAGGGGGTCGGGAGGGGTCAGTGAGGGGTCGGCGAGGGGGTCAGCGAGGGGGTCGGGAGGGGTCAGCGAGGAGGTCACCCCCGGTGCTGCTGGGTGACGGCCAGGGGGGTCGTGGGTAGCGAGCGGCGTGGTGGTGGTGGTGGTAGTGGTGGTGGTAGTGGTGGTAGTAGTGGTGGTAGTGGTGGTGGTAGTGGTAGTGGTGGTGGTAGTGGTGGTGGTAGTGGTGGTGGTAGTGGTGGTGGTGGTAGTGGTGGTAGTGGTGGTAGTAGTGGTAGTGGTGGTGGTAGTGGTGGTGGTAGTAGTGGTGGTGGTGGTAGTAGTGGTGGTGGTGGTAGTGGTGGTAGTAGTGGTGGTAGTGGTGGTGGTGGTGCTGGTGGTAGTGGTGGTAGTGGTGGTGGTAGTGGTGGTGGTGTTAGCGGTGGTGGTGGTGGTAGTTGAGGTGGTAGTGGTAGTGGTGGTGGCAGTGGTGGTGGTAGTGGTGGTGGTGGTAGTGGTGGTAGTGGTGGTAGGAGTGGTGGTAGTGGTGGTGGTAGTGGTGGTGGTAGTGGTAGTAGTGGTGGTGGTAGTGGTGGTAGTGGTGGTAGTGGTGGTGGTGGTAGTGGTGGTAGTGGTGGTGGTGGTAGTGGTGGTGGTGGTAGTGGTGGTGGTGGTGGTAGTGGTAGTGGTGGTAGTGGTGGTAGTAGTGGTGGTGGTGGTAGTGGTGGTAGTGGTGGTGGTAGTGGTGGTAGTGGTGGTGGTGGTGGTAGTGGTGGTGGTAGTGGTGGTAGTGGTGGTGGTAGTAGTGGTGGTAGTGGTGGTGGTGGTAGTAGTGGTGGTGGTGGTAGTGGTGGTGGTGGTAGTTGTGGTGGTAGTGGTGGTGGTGGTAGTGGTGGTAGTGGTAGTGGTGGTAGTGGTGGTGGTAGTGGTGGTGGTGGTGGTGGTAGTGGTGGTAGTGGTGGTGGTAGTGGTGGTGGTGGTGGTGGTGGTAGTGGTGGTAGTGGTGGTGGTAGTAGTAGTGGTGGTGGTGTTGGTGGTGGTGGTATTGGTGGTGGTAGTGGTGGTGCCTGGGAGGTCACTGCTCACCCTCACGACCTCAGGGTCCAGGTCACCGTTGCAGCTGTCAAAGTACTTCTTGAGGTCCTGGTGAGAGTGGGAGAGGCGACACAAAGACAAAGCTCCCCCAGGTAGCCTCTAGCAGGGCTGTAGGGGCAAGTGCTGTTAGTGGCGAGTAGCACCACCAATGATGTACACACACAGACACACATAGACACAACAACCGCCATTCGCCACTAAGTGGCGGTGACGTCACCACGACGCTTGTGCCAGGCCATGTGCACCTTGAGGCCACATGAAGTGTCGAACGCCCGCTGGCAGGAGGTCACGGGGCAGACCCAGGTGCCACGGGTCGACTGAGATTACTGGCTGATGCACCACCTGTGTCCCCTACTGTGCCAACCTGCTGTGCTTTAGCCACCCGGCGCTCCGCTCGTTGTTGTGAGCGTCGCTCCTCCGCCCTCCGTTGTTGTTGGAGGGCGACTGCCTCCAACTGCCCAGTAGCGTCCTTCACGAGCCTCCTCCACAGAGGCCGATCTTGACACCGCTGGTACCGGTCATCGGCAAGTCCACTCAGCTCCACGTCCTCCTGTACCACATCACTCTCTTCTCTAGCCCGTGCCGCACCCGTTTAGCCCCCTCGATCCGGCCGAACAAAAGCTATTTCGGCATGCGGTGGCTGGGCATCCGGGCTACATGACCCAGCCAACGCAGCCTTGCCTGCTGGAGGAGTTCACCAATGGGACCTTGCCCAGATCTTTCAAGGATTTGTGAGCTCCTCACACAATCCAGCCTGGATAAACCCAGGATGGATCGTAGGCAGGCCAGCCTAACTGTTTCTAACTGGCGAAGATGTTCCATTAGGGGGGTCCACGTTTCGCAAGCGTAGAGAAGGGAGGGAATGACCGTGGCTGAGAAGACCTGAAGCTTAGTGCAGAGCGACAGACCAGGTAGCTTCCACACAGCGTTACGCAACCGATTAAAAGATATTGCCGCTCGACTGATTCGGAGTGAGACCTCTGCTGTTAAACTGGAGCCGGTCATAAGCACACTGCCCAGGTATGGGAAACTCTCCACTTTCTCCACAACTGCCCCATCACCGATTGGGAGTTGTGGGGGTGGAGTGTCCGATGGTACAAAATACCCAGGCAGGTGCTTAGTTTTGGTGGGGCTGATGGCAAGGCCCCATCTCTTAGTGGCACGCTCCAGTCCCAGCAGCAGCGTCTCCAACTCCTCCTCTGAATGAGCGGCTATTACCAAATCATCGACATACATAACGTGGTTGAGCAATAGGGAGCCATCCCTTGACCGCACCAGGGCATCGATCAGCCTCCCATTATATCTGTACCAAATGGAGATTCCCCCGGTACAGCTATTGAAGGCTTCACGAACTACGTGGTGAAAATAGATGTTAAATAATGTGGGAGCCAGAGGACATCCCTGTCGCACCCCAAGGTGTACACAGGGAATGGCTCCGACTCCCGGCCACGTAGTTTTACCCGGGACCGCTCACCATCATGAAGGTCCTTAATGATCGTGAGCAGCGGGTCAGGGACTCTGAAAGCACGGAGAACAACCCAAAGCCCAGGCCTACTGATGATATAATAGGCCTTGACCAGGTCAATAAAGCAGAGATGTAGGTCTTGTTGGAATTCCCTACACCTCTGCTGTAGCAGACGGCCAGAAAATATGGCATCTGTGCAGGACCGCCCTATTCTGAAACCGCATTGGGGCTCCGCAAGCCTCTCCTCAGCGTGCCTGGCAAGGCGATGTTGAATAATCCTTGCCAGGACCTTTCCCGGCACACTGAGGAGTGAGATGCCCCTGTAGTTGTTACAGTCTGTGCGGTCCCCCTTCTTAAAGAGGGGGACCACCAGGGCATCCTTCCATTCCTGCGGAACCCGTCCAGTGGTCCAGACTGTTGTTACGATGTCATATAGGGCAGTCTGTGCACAAACGCCACCCTCCCTCAGCATTTCGTTTGGGAGATCATTTCTGCCCGGTGCCTTTCCTGGTCTCAGGCTCTGGATCGCCTTCAGTACTTCATCAACAGATGGCACCTCAGCCAGCCACTCACAGGGGGTGACTTCTTCCAATATTTGAGGCACCACAGCCTCAGCAGGGTCATCCCCACTTTGTGCCACGATGTTTTCCTGGCTGAGGGATTTCCCCTCCCCCAGGACCTCACAGAAATGCTCATCAAATCTGCAAACCTGTTCCTGGGGGTCGGAGATTGGATCACCGTTTTTTCCCCTAATGATGGTAATAGGTGTGGTGCTGCAGGTTACTTTTTTATGGAGTTAAATAGAGATTTGTGATCGCGGGCCACTGAGGCAGACTCCATCTCCTCAGCCACCCGCGACCACCACCCATCCTTGCAGCGCCTCACGGCTCTCCGAACCTTCGTGCGAAGGCTGCGGTAAGCCTCCTCATTCTCTGACGTGGGATGCTGTAGGCGATGACAGTGGGCCTGTCGCTTTTTCTTAACTATCCTGAACACCTCCTCTGTCAGACAGGGTTTCTGGGGAGGTCTGGAATCGGCCCTCCCCCCACAGCATTGTCCACGACAGAGTTGCCCGTCCGGCACCGCGAGGAGGTAGGGGGTTGTTTTGCACACACACACACACAGACATACACACACACACAAACACACGCAGACACACACGGACACACAGACACACACACACGCAGACACAGACACACACAGACACACACAGACATGCACACACACAGACACACACGCAGACACACGCAGACACACACACAGAGGCGTGGTGCTGGCATAATGGTGAGCAGGTGCCCGTCTTCACCTCACCTGGTCACAGAATTCAAACACCAAGGTGAGCTTCTTCTCACTGTGGAGGACATCGTGGAGTCTGCAAGCACAGACACACACACACAGTAACACACAGATACACACACACACACAACAACAACAACCGCCATTCGCCACTAAGTGGCGGTGACGTCACCACGACGCTTGTGCCAGGCCATGTGCACCTTGAGGCTACCACGTGAAGTGTCGAACGCCCGCTGGCAGGAGGTCACGGGGCAGACCCAGCAGGTGCCACGGGTCGACTGACTGAGATGACTGGCTGATGCACCACCTGTGCCCCCTACTGTGCCAACCTGCTGTGCTTTAGCCACCCGGCGCTCCGCTCGTTGTTCTGAGCGTCGCTCCTCCGCCCTCCGTTGTTGTTGGAGGGCGACTGCCTCCAACTGCCCAGTAGTTTCCTTCACGAGCCTCCTCTACAGAGGCCGATCTTGACACCGCTGGTACCGGTCATCGGCAAGTCCACTCAGCTCCACGTCCTCCTGTACCACGTCACTCCATCTCTTCTCTAGCCCGTGCCGCGCCCATTTAGCCCCCTCGATCCGGCCGAACAAAAGCTGTTTCGGCATGCGGTGGCTGGGCATGCGGGCTACGTGACCCAGCCAACGCAGCCTTGCCCGCCGGAGGAGCTCACCGATGGGACCTTGCCCAGATCTTTCAAGGATTTGTGAGCTCCTCACACAATCCAGCCTGGTTAAACCCAGGATGAATCGTAGGCAGGGCCAGCCTGAATGTTTCTAACCGGCGAAGATGTTCCATTAGGGGGGTCCACGTTTCGCAAGCGTAGAGAAGGGAGGGAATGACCGTGGCCGAGAAGACCTGAAGCTTAGTGCGGAGCGACAGACCAGGTAGCTTCCACACAGCGTTACGCAACCGATGAAAAGATATTGCCGCTCGACTGATTCGGAGTGAGACCTCTGCTGTTAAACTGGAGCCGGTCATAAGCACACTGGGGGTAGTTAGGGGGTAGTTAGGGGGTAGTTAGGGGGTGGTTAGGGGGTAGTTAGGGGGTAGTTAGGGGGAAGTTAGGGGGTAGTTAGGGGTAGTTACCGGACGATGTTTTTGTGTTTCAGTTCTTTGAGAAGGCAGATTTCTCTTAGTGCTGAGCTTGGTACTCCCTGGAGACATCAACAACATCAACAACAACAACATCAACAACATCAACAACATCAACAACATCAACATCATCAACAACATAATCATCATCAACATCATCAACAACATCATCAACATCAACAACATCATCAACAACATCAACAACAACATAATCAACATCAACAACATCATCAACATCAACATCATCAACAACATCAACAACATCAACATCATCAACATCATCATCAACATCAACAACATAATCATTATCAACATCATCAACAACATCAACAACACCATCAACATCATCAACAACATCAACAACAACATCAACAACAACATCAACACATCAACAACAACAACATCAACAACATAGTCATCATCAACATAATCATCATCAACATCATCAACAACAACATAAACAACATCAACAACATAATCATCATCAACATCATCAACAACATCATCAACATCAACAACATCATCAACAACATCAACAACAACATCAACAACATCAACAACAACATCAACAACATCAACAACAACATCAACAACATCAACAACATAGTCATCATCAACATAATCATCATCAACATCATCAACAACATCAACAACATCAACAACATCAACAACATCATCAACAACATCAACAACATCATCAACATCAACAACATCAACAACATCAACATCAACAACATCAACATCATCAACATCATCAACATCATCAACAACATCAACAACATCAACATCATCAACATCAACAACATCAACAACATGAACAACAACATCAACATCAACAACATCAACAACATCAACAAGATAATCATCATCAACATAATCATCATCAACATAATCATCATCAACATCATCAACAACAACATCAACAACAACATCAACAACAACAACAACATCAACAACATCAACATCAACAACATCAACAACATCATCAACAACATCAACAACATCATCAACATCCTCAACATCAACAACATCATCAACAACATCAACAACAACAACATCAACAACATCAATCAACAACATCAACATCAACAACATCAACAACATCATCAACATCCTCAACATCAACAACATCAACAACATCATCAACATCAACAACATCAACAACATCAACAACAACATCAACAACATCAACAACATCACCAACAACATCAACATCATCAACATCATCACCAACATCATCTTGGTGTGTGGGGAGTGACCCCCACCCCACCCCCACTCCCCCCCCACCCCCCCACCCCCCACCCCCCCCCCACCCCCCACCCCCCCCCACCACCCCCCCACCCCCCCACCACCCCCCCAACCCCCCACCCCCCCCACCCCACCCACCTCGTCGTCGTCATCGAGACGAACTCGTTTGAGCGCCACGATTTCGTGAGTCTCACGGTTCTTGGCCTTGAACACCGTTCCGTACGTACCTACACGTGAACACACACACACGTGAACACACACACACGTGAACACACATACACCTACACGTGAACACACACCGTGAACACACACACACGTGAACACACACACAGTGAACACACACACGTGAACACACACACACAGTGAACACACATACACACACGTGAACACACACACCGTGAACACACACACAGTGAACACACACACAGTGAACACACACACAGTGAACACACACACCTACACGTGAACACACACCGTGAACACACACACACGGTGAACACACACACACAGTGAACACACACACCTACACGTGAACACACACCGTGAACACACACCTACACGTGAACACACACACGGTGAACACACACCGTGAACACACACACACCGTGAACACACACCTACACGTGAACACACACACACAGTGAACACACACACCTACACGTGAACACACACACACGGTGAACACACACACACAGTGAACACACACACCTACACGTGAACACACGGTGAACACACATGGTGAACATACACACACACACCTACACGTGAACACACACCGTGAACACACACACGGTGAACACACACGTGAACACACCGTGAACACACACCGTGAACACACACACACCGTGAACACACACACACACACGTGAACACACACACAGTGAACACACATACACAGTGAACACACACACACACACGTGAACACACACACACCTACACGTGAACACACACACACAGTGAACACACACACACAGTGAACACACACACCTACACGTGAACACACATACACAGTGAACACACACCGTGAACACACACACACGTGAACACACACCGTGAACACACACACACCTACACGTGAACACACATACACGTGAACACACACCGTGAACACACACACCTACACGTGAACACACACCGTGAACACACACACCTACACGTGAACACACACCGTGAACACACACACCTACACGTGAACACACACCTACACGTGAACACACACACACCTACACGTGAACAGACACCGTGAACACACACACACACCGTGAACACACACCTACACGTGAACACACACACACGGTGAACACACACCTACACGTGAACACACACCGTGAACACACACCTACACGTGAACACACACACACAGTGAACACACACACACCTACACGTGAACACACATACACGTGAACACACACCGTGAACACACACACCTACACGTGAACACACACACCTACACGTGAACACACATACACAGTGAACACACACACCTACACGTGAACACACACACCTACACGTGAACACACACCTACACGTGAACACACACCTACACGTGAACACACATACACAGTGAACACACACACCTACACGTGAACACACACACCTACACGTGAACACACACACCTACACGTGAACACACACCGTGAACACACACACACCGTGAACACACACACCTACACGTGAACACACATACACGTGAACACACACCGTGAACACACACACCTACACGTGAACACACACACCTACACGTGAACACACACACCTACAAGTGAACACACACACCTACACGTGAACACACACACACCTACACGTGAACACACACACACCTACACGTGAACACACACCGTGAACACACACACACGTGAACACACACCGTGAACACACACACACACGGTGAACACACACCGTGAACATACACACACCTACACGTGAACACACACCGTGAACACACACACACCTACACGTGAACACACACCGTGAACACACACACACCTACACGTGAACACACATACACGTGAACACACACACACAGTGAACACACACACAGTGAACACACACACAGTGAACACACACACCTACACGTGAACACACACCGTGAACATACATACACACACGTGAACATACATACATACACACGTGAACATACATACACACACGTGAACATACATACACACACGTGAACATACATACACACACACGTGAACACACATACACAGTGAACACACACCGTCAACATACACACACACCCCTACACGTGAACACACGGTGAACACACACATGTGAACACACGTGAACACACACCGTGAACATACACACACCTACACGTGAACACACGTGAACACACCTACACACCTACACGTGAACACACGGTGAACATACACACCTACACGTGAACACACACCTACACGTGAACACACGTGAACACACACACCTACACGTGAACACACGCAGTGAACACACACACGTGAACACACGTGAACACACACACCTACACGTGAACACACACACGTGAACTGACACCTTTATACAAGGGGATCATGTCTGCAATAACCACAACGCAAGCGGTCAAAAATGCAAACAAAAAGAGAACTCTGATAATAATATTGGCACTGTCCTTGAATCTGATTGGTCCACACCAGAGACGGCTTTTCTTAGAGCCCTTAGTCTCTCCGCTGGTGTTGGACCAGATGACGCCATAAGGCGTACAACTTAAAAAAACAGCGCACCATCAGAGTACTGAGGGCTCGGGATAGGCCACTTACATCATGAGACCTCCTTTGCCAGTAGCGAGATATAGTAATAAGTTTTCACCCTTTTAACTGGCACAAAAAACTGACACCTTTACACAAGGGGATCATGTTTGCAATAACCACAACGCAAGCGGTCAAAAATGCCAAAAAAAAGAGACAACTCTGATAATGATGATGGCACCGTCCTTGAATCTGATTGGTCCACAACGGAGACGGCTTTTCTTAGAGCCCCTTAGTCTCTCCGCTGGTGTTGGACCAGATGACGCCATAAGGCGTACAACTCAAGAAACAGCGCACCATCAGAGTATTGAGAGCTCGGGGTAAGCCACTTACATTATGAGACCTCCTTTGCCAGTTGTCTTTTATGTTTGCATTTTGACTGCTTGTGTTGTGGTTGTTGCAAACACGACGCCTTGCATAAAGGTGTCAGTTTTGGTGCCAGATAAAAGGGTAAAAACCTATTGATATATCTTGCTACTGGCAAAGGAGGTCTCATAATGTAAGTGCCTTACCCCGAGCTCTCAATACTCTGATGGTGCGCTGTTTTTTTTAGTTGTACGCCTTACGGCGTCATCTGGTCCAACACCAGCGGAGAGACTAAGGGCTCTAAGAAAAGCCGTCTCTGGTGTGGACCAATGAAATTCAAGGACGGTGCCAATATTATTATCAGAGTTGTCTCTTTTTGTTTGCATTTTTGACTGCTTGTGTTGTGGTTATTGCAAACATGATCCCCTTGTATAAAGGTGTCAGTTTTTGTGCCAGTTAAAAGAGTAAGAAAAAAACCTATTGCTATATATATCTCGCTGCTGGCAAAGGAGGTCTCATAATGTAAATCCTCTAGAGGCAGTTTTGAGTGAAGCTCTCATTGGTGGCGATTCAAGTTGTAGTCTATTGGCGACAGCGTTCCAGACACTGGGGGGACATCAATAGCAAAGGCCCTTCCTCCAGTTTTTCATACGATAGTCGCTATCCCGCATAGCACGCTCGTTGCCGTCGGTACTTCCACACAGGAGCACTAAATCTGAGACGTCAACTCAACGATCGTCATTTTAAATTAAAATGTTCACGCAAACACCGCCGACGGGGGATGGTGGGGGGGGGGGGGGTGTTAGGGCAGGGTGCCACCGGCGGGATGAGGCTCACTTCCGGTCGGCGGGGTAATCTATCCGAGGGTCGGTGAAGTAGGCCGCAATCACGAATATTATTCTAAAACGTTTGCACTTGTGTTAGACATATGATTTAGTGTTGTTGTTGTTATTATTACCGGCCTATGTGGCAGCTCTTTTCGTGGCTACATTATCATCACTTGTAAAATTCATAACAATCAGCCGAATACTCTAAACGTCTATGGGTCTCTGTGTGGTGGTGAGTCTATGGGTCTCCGTGTGGTGGTGAGTCTATGGGTCTCTGTGTGGTGGTGGGTCTATGGGTCTCTGTGTGGTGGTGAGTCTATGGGTCTCTGTGTGGTGAGTCTATGGGTCTCTGTGTGGTGGTGAGTCTATGGGTCTCTGTGTGGTGGTGAGTCTATGGGTCTCTGTGTGGTGGTGAGTCTATGGGTCTCTGTGTGGTGGTGAGTCTATGGGTCTCTGTGTGGTGGTGAGTCTATGGGTCTCTGTGTGGTGATGAGTCTATGGATCTCTGTGTGGTGAGTCTATGGGTCTCTGTGTGGTGGTGAGTCTATGGGTCTCTGTGTGGTGATGAGTCTATGGGTCTCTGTGTGCGGGTGAGTCTATGGGTCTCTGTGTGGTGGTGAGTCTATGGGTCTCTGTGTGGTGGTGAGTCTATGGGTCTCTGTGTGGTGGTGAGTCTATGGGTCTCTGTGTGGTGGTGAGTCTATGGGTCTCTGTGTGGTGGTGAGTCTATGGGTCTCTGTGTGGTGGTGAGTCTATGGGTCTCTGTGTGGTGGTGAATCTATGGGTCTCTGTGTGGTGGTGAGTCTATGGGTCTCTGTGTGGTGGTGAGTCTATGGGTCTCTGTGTGGTGGTGAGTCTATGGGTCTCTGTGTGGTCGTGAGTCTATGGGTCTCTGTGTGGTGGTGAGTCTATGGGTCTTTGTGTGGTGGTGAATCTATGGGTCTCTGTGTGGTGGTGAGTCTATGGGTCTCTGTGTGGTGGTGAGTCTATGGGTCTCTGTGTGGTGGTGAGTCTATGGGTCTCTGTGTGGTGGTGAGTCTATGGGTCTCTGTGTGGTGGTGAGTCTATGGGTCTCTGTGTGGTGATGAGTCTATGGGTCTCTGTGTGGTGGTGAGTCTATAGGTCTCTGTGTGGTGGTGAGTCTATGGGTTTCTGTGTGGTGGTGAGTCTATGGGTCTCTGTGTGGGGGTGAGTCTATGGGTCTCTGTGTGGTGGTGAGTCTATGGGTCTCTGTGTGGTGGTGAGTCTATGGGTCTCTGTGTGGTGGTGAGTCTATGGGTCTCTGTGTGGTGGTGAGTCTATGGGTCTCTGTGTGGTGGTGAGTCTATGGGTCTCTGTGTGATGAGTCTA